ATATATATATTTACACAAAGGAGCGCAAGAAAAATACATTTGAAATTCTATCCTTTGAAAATAACCATTATGCGATCAGAACGATTCCTGTCATAGTAAAAATACCCAAAAGTTTTAATATGCAAATCTTATTGTGGCTATCGATTACTGCGGTCGAATAACAGAACACAACAGAACAATTTCTATGCATCTAACTCATTCGCCTACTCTACATTCACAATCACACAAATATACTTCTAACTCTGGATTTGGTCAAATTTAAGTTCTGCTTTTTGACAAATTGTCATGTACATATGTTTGTGGTGGGCGGTGGGTCCGTTGTATCATTTATTACCAATGCGAAATGTTGGTAGAGCACTCAACTCCTAACTGGATTTCGAGGATGGGAAAATTTGGAAAAACATTTTCATACATAAGCCAAATATCAACGCAGTTAATTTAAAATATTCAATGGCTGCCTTTCTGCGCGTACTTGCTGCAATAAACAAAAGCTGTGTAACTTTTACAAGTTGTTCTCGAATAATCGGGAATTCCGGAAGTTTCGAAATGTGGGTTCTGTTTACTTTAGTGTGCATTAATGATTTCGAACGACCAACACACAATAAGAACAGATATTGAATTTCATGTAAGGCAATATATACGTATAATACATTTTACGTACAGTAGGTAACTTCTAAAACACTACTTTTTGTTACTAACAATTAACAGCCAGACATATTTGAGCAAAAAACCCGAATTCGCTATCCAACTACTCGCAGTGGAGCTCAAATGAAGTCTAATTAATATGCTGTGCCACAATTCAAATCTATGGCTGCAGTAAAAAATTAAATGGCAGAGCTTTGCGAATGTCAACGCGAAATGTTTATGCAGCATTGACTTCAGCAACAACACAATGCCACAACAGCAACCCCAATTGCCTAACAATGACCTGCCCCCACTACTAAAACTCGCTTTCCTGCAACGAAACCACAAAGGAGGATCAAGTGTACCTGCTAGTGACAGGACATTCATGCTAATGCCATTCAATTTATGTATTAAATTAACCAAAAGCGCTTTTATCTACCAGAAACTCTGCCAACTTTTAATTAGGACGCTTTAAAGTTAGTAGTTTTTATGGTAGGGTACATGCAGGTAATTGGAAAACATGAATTCAATATTTAGTTTAAATTTAGAAGCACTGATTGAACTTAAACCGAACGTGGCTGAATCAAAATGCCCCGGTTAATTCATAGGCGAACTAAGCCATTTCGGTTCGGACTGGTTCACAGTCCTGACTTTAACTTCAGTGGTTAGTCAGTGGAGCAAATGTTAATTCAGTTGTGCATCCTTGAAGGCTTGCGTCTCGGGTTTCATTCATCCGCCCTCTGTTTATAGTTACACATGGTAGTGCATGTACATAAGTCTCCCACTGCCCCGCCCACCATCCTCATCCTCATTCACCACCCCCTGCCCCCTGCTCCCTAGCCCCTTAACCCCTGGCAGGGGCAGCCTGGAACCTGCCCGAGACCCCACTTAACCCCTTGATGTCGGTGTGCGTGACTCAATGCCTGTTTGTAGTCTGATGCAGATTGGCCCGGCTGCGAAACGTCAACGGAACTTTAACGCATTGCAAGTGGGCCATCCTCAGTGGTGACCTTACGGGAACTCAAAGCGATTAGCTAAGAGCGAAATAGTGTGGTATTGAACTATTACAGAATACTCACGCGGATATTTACCTCGATCAAAGATTGAAAAGTATTTTGTTTTGGTAGAAAACCCCTTCCCTGACCTTTTCAACTGATAAATCAAAACTATTTCGTGGGAAAATTATTACATTTTCTGCCTCCAAATAGGAAATTGCTCTTCTATTACCATACGAGTATGTAGTAACACACGTACATATGTTCAGTTGCGGCTGAAAGCAAACAAATGAATGCCAACTTCAAGCCAAATTCCCTTGCCGAAAAATGTAGGCTTGAGTGCACATAATAACTGTGGACCTGGTGAAATAATATTATGGCAAAATCAACGTGCCAATTACAGAATAGCTTTATAATGGGCGAACTAATTTAACAAGCATTATACGGCATTATTCATCATTATCGACTAAGATAAACAAAGAGAAAGACCATAAAAGCCAGGTTTTCGGCTCCAATGGCAGGCATTTGGCATCAAGATGCGCTTCTTTCTGCTGTTCTTTTTGGCACTCAGCTGCTGCCTGACGGTAAGTTTGAAATTGAATAGAACTATTTAACTTTAACTACTTAAATACCTAAATGTGAGCTCCTTCAGCGACTGGCCAAAGCGGAGTTCAGTCCAGTTCCTGGCTTGCAAGCTGGCGATCAGTTTCACAACTCTTCCAGTGATCCATTCAGACCGCGTCCACCGCCTCCCAGCACCACTGCAGCCGTATCCACAGGCTAGGTGGCTCTGGAACTCCTTGCAGGAGCACTTGTTTTCTGATACCAATGCGTACTCCATTCTGAAATAAATATATTTGGCAATGCACTTAATTACTCCTTTTGTTTGCTAAGCCAGCCTTTGTTGAGCAAATAGGCAAAGGACCACTCATTTCTTTGTTCGTTCCAAATAAGGCTGGAATGGTCCTGGAAGGGTCGATGGATGGCTAATAAATCTCCAACTCGGCTGTACTTCGGCGGGAAAAGCGCAGTCGGACAGAGCGTTGCCCGGGGCTATGCAAATATATGCACATGTTGACATAAGTACATGCAAGCCGACGCCGGCCACCAAATGACGAGGCCAATGGAGTTGATAGAACCAGCTGCCTGGTTCTATGCCTTCGTTCGCCGCCCAACCCCCATCCCCCAACCCACGCCCACGCCCACGACCACGCCCACGCTGATATGTCCCCCAGTCCGCTGAATAAACACCAGGCAGTCCCAATTTGGAGCTCCCCGAACACCAACAACAATGCCCACTTGCCAGCCGCCCACTCTTTTGACTGGCAGTTTATGCGGAAGTATCAAGAAATCACAAATTATTATCTTATAGGTTCGTTGTTCAAAAAACAGGGTGAATTATTGAGCACCCTCCTTGGTTTGGACAACCCATAGTTGTTACAGATGCATTTTCCAAGCATGGCCCCTACCAAAGATTTCATGATATGTTTTCGCAGAACTAATTCAGATTCTGCGCGCCGTGTAAACATCCGCAAAATCAAGGCAAAACTGGCGGTTGGGACGTGCAGGAAGCCTTTGAGCCTTGAGGTCACTGTAAATGCGTGACGCGTGAAAATTCGTCAAATGCAGGCCAACTGACATGGGGAGCGAATGCATCCTTCGCCACCATCGCCACCTGGTCCCCGCCAGATGCTGCTTAAATATGCACAAAGACTCAAGCATGGCCAAAAGCCCAATACCAATCCCAACAAGATGTGCCGGGGGTGGGAGTGTGCTGGTGAGTGTGTGGTGTGGCTGGGAATGAGGATGAGGCGGTGAACTGATTAAGCAGCTGAGGAGAAGGCCAAGGACCAAGGAGCCAGCACACAGGACCAAGGACCCATGTGAGTGGCTGTCATCACCGCGACTCGGAGCATTCATGTGGTAACAAGCGATTCACACCACTTGAATTGCAATTAAAAGTCACAGACTGAATCTTATGGCTGCCCGGAATGAAGCCTGAATGGGTCGGCTGTATTTCAAAGGCTCCTCCCGAAAAACTCTGCTAAAAATGCGCTTAAACAATAGTTAAAGTCATCAATGGTTACATGCGACATTCATAATGGTGCATCTAACTTACGGTAACTCACATCCATACGGTTTATGCATTTGCTTTAAGACATGGTTCAATTGCCATTTCCCATGGGCTGGGTACATGCCACCACTTCTAAAAACTTATTCACTGATCGCAGCTTCAAGAGTTCAGGCAATGAATCTTCTAAGGATAAGAGTTCATTTTGAATAATGAATTCTAACGAACTGTTTTTCTTGGTTCTGCTCGCTACGAATTGCAACGGCTAGCTCAGTTTGTTTGCCCCACTAAAGAGAAGACAGAGTTTAGAACAGATTTAGATTTAGAGTTATTGACAGGCTTCTTCAACGATAGACTCCTACAGTCTCGACCGCTTTCCCGTGCCGGCTCGAATGGGCCTAGGATGTTATAATGGGGAGGTGTATCGCCGGTTAGGTCAAGCTGACGAACCATCTTTGCCGACCAATGACTCCACCGTCCCTTCTGACCGTGCCAAGTTCTCCACTTGCTGGGATCGTCCTCCTGCATCCTGCGCGTTCTCACTGACCGATAACTTGACCACGGCTGCGAGTCCAACACAATCTCTCACTCGCGGATCTTCTGTCTGTCCCGAGGTATAGCTCCGCGCCTATTCCCACTGACTGTCTGTCCCGGGTATAGCTCCTCGCCTATTCTCACTGACTGGGATTATCCAATTATCCTCTTTCACGTAAGACTTCGGCGTGTTTGGCTGACTGTACCGAGCTGTGCATGCGCCGTCCCTTTTGTAGGGCGCGGGGATCCCGTTATTTCCCCATTTGCGCACGGCCCGCTCGGGTACCAGGTCCAACCCAGGTCCCGTTACTTCACGGTGCGTCCTCTTTGTGCTCGACCAAAGTCCACACCGTTACCGTTCGACCTCTGTGCCCTTGGTCGGCTTGAGTGCGAGGTCCAGCGCGGTACCGTTAGTTCACTGTCTCTGCGGTTTGCCGGGGTCCAAGGTCCATCACTTCCCGTTTGACCTGGCTGCCCTTGACTCCTCCTCCACTCCAGCCTTCTTCGCTGTTGCTAGGCAGCTCCTCTGCACCTCGATTTGAGGTGAGTTTTAAGATTGCTCACAGAATAATGAATGAATGAATAATGCATTTTGTGTGTGTAGGAAATGAATGCAATACGTTTCTATTTATTTGTAACGCCCTCGTGTTGTACGTTGTAAACCATCAGCCATTGAATGTTTAATGTTGGATTTCTGGACTGCGAGATATTATTATTAGTAGTAGTGTAGTGTGAACTGTCGGCTATTGGAAAAATGAGCAGTAAGGCGCGACTTTCTAAGTCCCTCCTGATGTCTTCCGCTCATCCTGGCCATCTGACGGCAGCTCCGCCTGTCTCTCATCTTGCTCCCCATCCTGCTCCTCAGCCCGACTCTCATTTTGGCCCTGCTCCTGCCCCGCATCCAGGCTCACGTCCACCTTGCGCTTCTTGGCAGCTAGCAGTTCCCCGCGGTCGAAGGCCTCTATGCGCTGCTCCAGCCTGTCAACCTCTAGCCACATCTGGGTGGCCGAGTTCCAGCGCGGCGGTGGGTCGCCGTTGATCTGGGCCAGCAGCATTTTCAGCCGGTTCCGATCCCAGAGGTTGGCCTCTTCGCGGCAATTGCTCACCAGAGACTTCAGGTAGTTTATCTGCCGTTCGGCGGAGTTGGTGATGATGATCCGATCGCCGGGGTCAGCAAGCCCATCGGCCACCGTCTGGCAGGACTTCTCATTTGGGCCGGGGACAAACGATGGGAGTCCATGTGACTGCCCCATTATTATTTCGGATAAGGCCAATACCAGTGCATGAGGATTGACCGCCGGCATCTTGTTGATAGCCAAGTGCTGGGGCGGCGGTGGCCTCAACTTGTTCTGGCCCATCTTGCGCTTCGACGAACCCGCAGCCGGGACATCGGTTTGGGTGGCAACCGAGTGGCTGTTGGTGTTCTCATTCACCTGCTCCACTGCAGCAACACTGCGCGGTGCAATCCTCGAGATGCGCTTCCTTGGAGCCATATCTCCGGCTATCACAATATGCAGACGATTCTGAGAATATTAGGTTAGAAGTAAACACACAACCTGACAGGGTTTCCTTGTTTCCTGTTCAGCTGTCACTGGAAAAGAAAAGGAAAATCCTACGGAAACCAATCGGATAGAAACTTTTGCTATCGTATTTAAATGTGTACACACATCTACATCTGTTTGTATATTTTACCTAATCCAATGAAATTGAATTATTGAATACAACACTTGCTCCGATTAAAACCAAAAGACGGCCTTTTCTGTAAGTCCGTCTTTATATCCTAAAGTACACTTTAACTTGTTAATAAATTTAAACCTCTTATTTCGCTTTCTTTCTCATTTCTGATCAGCTTTTCTCCCTGCAAAGAAATCTCCCAAGGCAAAGAAATTTGAAATCTACAGTCCTAGCCTTTGCATGCTATAATAATTATTTCATAATTATTATATCCGCTACTCGGCTTCTCTACGAGTAACGAATATAAACAAGGGTTTTCTCGGAGTCATTCAATAAAAGGTCAGAAAAGGCTTTTTTATGTACACACTTTTTAGCGGGTTTTTTTACGGACAGTATTAGAATGACAGTAATCCAGAATGCTAATTAGTTGTTAAATCTAATCTTGTCAACTAAAACAATACACTGAAGTACGTTTAATAGGTACGTTTAATGATTCGAAGCTTATAAATGTCATACCATTGTTTTAAAACATAACAAAAAAGGGATTACACTTTACTGCTCAGTTTATAAAGTAATGTTTTAGCTTCGGGTTAGTATCTACCATTTCCTCAAATTTCTATTACAAATCAGCAACTTCATAATTTATTACCAATTACTTTCCATAACACAGACCTTGGGCTTGATAAATATATTATAAAGAAATTACAAATACATCTACGAATAAGTTTAGCTTAGCAAACTTCCTCTTCAATGCGCGCAAATTTAGACTTCATATCGCTTTGATTAGCGGTCTTTTGTGAAGCTTGGAATGGTCTTACTGACAAAAAAATTAAATTCCTTTTTTGTCGAATCGATTTGGTGAGTCGTGGTTTAATAAGTCGATTATCATCGTGATCTGAAAATATTTGAATGTTTCATAGGAATGAACGAGCAAACTTGCAAATCTTACAAGACAAACAAGATGAACAAAGGATGTTGGAAGCTCCCAGTCGATTTCGAATATATTTCTTAGGCATTTCATTTCACCTTCCCATCAAATTAAGCTTGTAGTACACATCATATATACATTGTGTCAACATACATTACGTATTGTCCGGAATCTCCTGTCCAATTTCAACGAATCTAGTATGGAGCATACATACTATATAACATCAAAATAATAGCATCCATTCATGATATTTGAAACGCTACACTACACTGGAAATTTAATAAAGATTAAAATGAACTACAGAATGATGCGAATGATATAAATGATACATTCAAGTCTTTGTAGACCATAAAAATAGCTAATTTGACTTGAAAGATGCGATTATTAACTTTGCGAATTTACATAGCACGGAATTACCAATCATGTGCCTCAACCTTGATTGGATTTTGCATAAAGCCGAAGTTAAACTATTTATTTATTATATTTATTTATTTGTTATTTATTTTATTATATATATTTATATATATTATTTATATTAGGTTATTTAAGTTTGATTCAAGTAGGCACAAATCTATCATGGGCGACACAATTTAAGCAGTAAAAATATCGATACCTTTTTATTTTTGTCGTAGAGTAGCCACTACTGCGTACAGTGAAGCTTGCCAATGTGTCGATACATCATTTTATTTTAGGGCAACTTTATCTACAATATGTATATAAACTCATGTTTGTGGGTAAAAGAAAAACAAATCACGAAAGTGTTGCCCTTTAAAGCTGGAAATTTAGTGTCGCTTTTCTGAATGTTAAATGTGCACTTATGAGTTTAATCCAGGTTACAAACCCCTTTAACTTTGACTTTAAGTTGGGTTTTATTACCCTTAGTTGTATGTTTGAAAATATGGAAAGTTTGCAATTGGCGAAGGAGAAAACGTTTGCTTTAAGGCGGCCTATAAAGGATATAAATTCTCGATGAGGATCACTAGCCGAGTCGTCCGTCTGTCCATCAATATCAACGGATGCGGATTCGTGCGGATTCCAGTGAAATAGACACAGCTGAAGTTTGTTTCAGAACGTTGCCACGCCCCCCTGTTTTGTATTCAAATATTAAAACAAGTTCTGCTGTGCCTAAGATGCCTCAATCGCAGGGCGGAAACCAAAAGCTATCGCTGATTAAAGTCTGCCAGAGGCATAAAGGAATAGATTGAAATTGACCGGAAATTAGTTGAAATCTGTGCCTTGGTAAGTAGCTTACAAGTTAAAAAGGATATACAGAACAACTGGAAGCTATGTGGCCAACAGGTAGGTTTCATTCCAGATAGTAGCGCCTCTGTCGGGCAAATTGGATTCGAAAAATCCCAAATACAGTATTTCATAATTCATTTTAGCAACCCCTACATTTTCAATGGAAATGAAACCGCTCAGCCGTTTCCTAGGTGAACTGCGTACGACCGACCACAGCAATCGAATGGGCGGCACTACGAGAAAATGTATAGCACGACAGTAATCTGATTTTATTTAACAAAATAAAAAAGTATTGAAATACAGGCCTACTCGTAAGCATTTTAAGAACTACAATATTTTTAAATCTGTGACTTTTATTTATTTTTGATGTAATAATAAATATTACGAATTATATTTCATTATATTATATACTATTATTTTTATTAATTAATTTTTATTTTTAATATTATTTTAATGTTATTATTATTAATTATATTATATATAATTCGATGTTAACCATATATTTTAGAAACACAAAAATGCTTTAAGCATTGAGCTCGCTATCATATTTTCCCGCGGTGCATTTTCCGTAACCTGGCAACCTTCAATTGGGGATTCGGTGGCCAAACAAAGGCGCCAACGACCACAACAAATAACGGTGTGGAAAATGCAATTGCCAGCGCAGCCGGCGCATCGAAAGCAGGTGAACTCGTCGGAAACCAGGAATGTCCTTCAAGGATGTGCGAGGTGCGTACTGACTCCCTCCTCCACCTTCCACCACCTAACAGGGGCAGCCCGACCCTCTTCCAGATCTGGGGGAACATCTTAAGCTGTTGGGGTTCCCACGCGTGTTTCCCCTCCAATCCCTGGCCAATCAGCATGGCAGCCTGGCCAGTTTCCACATAGTTGCCGAGCTCCTCCAATGGCTAGCAGGTCTGATGGAGCCGGGAGCCAGTCTGCCCGGCGGCGTGGAATCGGAGGAGCAGCGGGTTCTTCTCATCCGTTCGGCGACCGAGTTTTTTGTGACCAAGGCGGCCATTCGTCTGAATCCCCGGAAACTGTACGCAGCCGCTGCGGTTACGGCGGCAGAGCTACAGAAGGTAACCCGACTCCTGACATCCCCAGGACAAAACGAAGCGGACCTGGACGAGGAGGAGCAAAGGGACCAGTACAGGAGCCTAAATCCTGTGGATATTGGCGACAAAACAGAGGAGTTGCGCAAGGCCAGAGAACTGGCCACAGAGCTAACCCAGCGAGGCACAACCATATGCGAGATGCTATCGAAGGAGCTGCTCCACAAGGAATCACGGATGTCCCAGGCCCAACGGCCCCTGGAGCTGCTCAGCGTGGAGAGGACCCTGAAAAACGCCATCCAAGCCAGCCAAGTTCGCCTCCAATCGAGTAGAGCCCAACTGGAGGCAGCCAAGGTGGAGCTCCAGGCCCTGGGCTCCAAGCTGCAGCGGCGGCGAGCGGAGCTTGAGCGAACCCGCCAAAGACTGGAGGCACTGCATCGCATTCGACCGGCGCACATGGCCGAATTCGAGGACTGCGAGAAGGAGTTGCAGGAGCTTTTCCAGCGCTACTTCCTCAGGCTGCATGTACGCGATGCTCTGAAGTCCCAACTGGAGCTGCGTACCAAACGTGCCACACCCATCGCCTCACCCATTCTGCAAAAGCCCGCAGAGAACTCCATGCCCTTCATCCCGGAGGGACTCATCGAGGATGATGACGACGACGACGAGGACGACCTGGATGACGAGGATGAGGGCGACGATGGCGGCGAAGCGGTTTCCGGCCTCGACATGGTGGTTAATGGCAGAAGTGTCTTAAGCCTGGACTCGGAGATACCCGACATACGGGACGAGGACAAGCTGATGCAACAGAACAGCCTGGCATCGGCGCAGGGAAAACGTCCTGGTACCGCCACCTCCAGGATTAGACCCACAACGGGTAGGAGCAGGAAGGCAGTCGGAGGTAAGGAACTTTTGATTGTACGCTGCGCTGTTAAATAGAGCATTTCCTAGGCAGAGGCAACGCCGGCTCCGGAGGAGGTAATGATGCCAGGGCAGCCCGAGGCTCCAGGAGAGGTGCTGCGGCTGGAGGAGACGCAGGTGGCACCCATCGAAACGGCCGCAACGGACCCGGCAGCAGTATGCTCAACTCACGGGACGACGACAGCAGCTTCGGGAGCTCCGAGAGCGAACTGGATGTGGGCGAGATCATGGGCATGAGCGGCATGAGTGGCATGAGCGGCATTAGCGGCATCAGTGGGATGAGCAATATTGCCTTGGGAGCCGGCGATGACGATTGTGAGTCGAGTAGCTACGTCTTTTCTCTATAACCAAACTTGACCTCCTTTACCCCCAGTTGATCTGAACTCGATCGATGACATTAGCATTTCAAAGTTGACTGGCGAACTGCCGCTGCGACCGAAGACCGCCAATAAGGCGGAGCACCACAGCGATGAGGACTTTTAGGGAGAACTATTTATATATATTTACTAATTTTGTAAACTCAGCCAGAGGGCACACAGGTTGTCAGAAGTAAATAAAATATTCGCATGCAGCAACTCAAAGATTTCTTTCCTTTGTCTTGGGTAAAATCAGATAGGTTAACGTAAGTCCCAAAATGGCTCATCCAAGATTGTCTCTCAAAAGTTATGGCTCCTTAATCATGTGCAGCTACATGGCATTTAAGCGAAGTATGTCGACTTCTGCAGCTTATCAGTTAATAATTACATGCAAAAG